ATGCAGGACTTTATCGTTGTGAAATTGTCACCGGGATTCATGATGAGCAAGACTTGGTCCCTCTGGAAGTCACAGGTAAGAAAAAGGCTCAGCGCATCTTAAAGCATTTTTTTAAAAGCGGGGAGGAAGAGCAGTTCTGGGGCTCTGCTTAATGGATCTCAGAAGGAGATGAGACGTACTTGGGGACTGATGGAATGAGGGCAGAAAGCTTCTAAACCCTGATCAAAACTGCAAAATAGCCACCAAAGACGATGGGAGAGATTCTGTTAATGCCATTCATTGTCAGAGGAGAGCTGTGTTAGTCTATGGTAGCCAAAAATCAGAGGGAAGTACCTTTTCCAACTAAGCTTTTTTTTCCCCCAAAAGGCAGAAGCTTTCACTCATTTCATCAGAAGCACCCTGCGTCTTTTAAAAATATTTTCTAGTCTCAGAAGGTGCCGCCAGACTCCTCCTGATTTAATCCCACCCAATGAGCCCTTCAGCACACGCTTATGGAGTTGGCAGGCCCAAATGTTTTCTCATTTCCGTCTCTTTTTTCCTGAATTTTATACAGGGCATCGTGAACATCCGTTCAGCTTTCATTTCCATTGGTTTAATCATATTCCTCCCCTGCCTTTATATCAAAGGTGTGTGTGGGTGTGTGGTAATGAAAGACTACAAGAAACAACCTAGTTGTGATTGCATGTACAGTTTGGGTTTCACTTGTATGCTGATTAAAGGATTTCATGGTGGTTTATGAAGTTCAATAATTTGACAATCCCTGTCATAAAGCTTTCTGTATAGGAGACATGACACAAAAGGAAAAAGGAAGGAGGAGGGAGAAGGTTGTGCTGCGTGCAAGAGCTGCTTCAGAAAGTATCCTAGTGCAATCATCAAGGATTGTATTGCACAATATTTTATTAAAAGGAGAGAAGATGCCCTTCAGTTGGCTGACTGCCTCCATTGCAATTATCTTAGCAACGTTACAGAAGTGGTTTGACCTAGCTTTTTTCCAAGGCTTTAATTTCCCATTCAGCCAAGCAGTCCCGCATCCAAACACTAACCAGGGTTGACCCTGCTTAGCTTCAGAGATCAGCCAAGATCAGTTAGGCACTGCCCTATCTGGTTGTGGGTTTGTCTGGGGTTTTGCCTTTGAGTTGGTTTTTGACTCCTGGCAACTACCTAGACTAGTCTCTGCAGTTTTCTTGGCAAGGTTTTTTGGAAGTGGCTTGGCATTGCCTTCTTCTTCGTACAGGTGAGAGCGACGGGCCCAAGGTCACCCAGCTGGCTTCATGCCCAGGTCAGGACTAGAACTCACAATCTCCTGGTTTCTAGCCTGCTGCCTTTAACCACTACACCAAACTGGCCCTATCTGTTAAGGACATTATATATCCCTCTTATTCGCATCTCTTTGTCTTGTCCCCTTCCAACCCTACCTAGGTGTGGTTTTTCACTACCGAGCGGCTAGCAACCGCTACGCTTTGACTTTCTCAAAGGCGCAGAAGGCCTGTGAAGAGAACTCAGCCACCATCGCCTCTCCTGCTCATCTTGAAGTGGCCTTTGAGGACGGCTATGACAACTGTGATGCCGGATGGCTCTCCGACCGCACTGTTAGGTACATCCATTCTGACCAAATTGATTTAGGAGGGGCTGATCCCATTTTCCGCTGTAATTAGTGCCTGATAAAATATTCTTTTCTTGTGATTTTTTCCCCCTTTCAAGAAAAAGAGGAGATGCCTTCCCTCAGCAAATTCTAAGGGTCTCCAAATGTTACATCTT